CGTTGTAAATGAGGAGCCCAAACTGGTCGAGCTCGAGCTGGACCTTTTCGAAAACCTCCTTCTTGAACTCCTTGGTGCCCTTGAAGATCTGTTCCATGGTCATGGAGGCGGCAAGCACGCGGGTCTCGCCCTCGATGATGCCCTGGACGAGCTCGTTGACATGGTTGGAGTGCTTGTCGTGGGGGGCGATGAGCTTGGTGTACCTGTGGAGGCTCTCGGGGTCGTCTATCCGTGGGCCGATAGTGAAGACGGCTGGGAGGATGAACGGGAGCTTCTCGGCGCTCATCGCCTGGACTTCGAAGGTGTAGTTCACAGGGGAGATGTCGAATCTCATGCAGGACTGTCCCGGTAAAACCCATGCCTTCTTGGCAATCTTCACGTCATGGATTCCGAAGCCTGTAATGGCCAAGTACTCCGATGCCCCAGCAACCCTATACATCTTCTCTGTCAAACAAGTACGAACTATGAATCTGTGATCTAAGAACGAGATGTGGAAGAGGGTTTTCTTGAATGAATATAGTTTCAGAGTCTCTTTGGGGTCTCTTCGATATATAGCTATTTATAGAAAAAGGGAGGATGCTTGGACGGAAACACCTTTGAACTGATAGGGATTTGTATTTCCTAGCACCGATAGGACTGTGCTAAGGCGTTGGGAGTTTTTCACAATCCTACTACTCCTCCGGTATATGCATATTCCTAATTTAAGATTTTATTTTTCATCACATATTTTGCCCATAAATTGAATCAAATTTAAAGGAAACAACTCTTTCCAACATTGTTACCAAATTCAAACTTGTTCACTTTCTTTACCAATTTTTATTTTTCATTTTATAAAAGAATTGTAATAATGTTATAATTTATTATTATTATTATTATTATTATTACGAGTATTATTATTATATTCATAATCACGTTATCTTAATCAATGTCCAGTATTGTAATTTTTTAAAAACGAAAAGAAAAAACTACTTTCGAATTTTTTAAATTAGAATATAAATTTAGTATAAATATTAAAATGTACTCCGTAAAATTTTAAAAAGTTCTTGTGGTTACGTTGCACTTCATATTTTTTATATATTATTTATTATAGAATAATATATTTGTAATTACACTTTATATATTAATTTTTTTAAAAAAAATATCAAAATTTGTCACATAATATGGTCATATTTGTTTTTTTCTTTCATGATTGATATGATTGTTGCATTGTAACTTTTATTTTGGCAATAAAAAAACAGAAAATTCTATTTTGGTACATTTTAATATTTTACTCCTAGTTTAGTGTTTTTGTTTAAAGTATTTTAACATTAATTTTTTATAGAAAATTGAAAAATGACAAAAAATTGTTTTTGAGATATATTAAAATGAGTAAAAAAGAGAAAGGTAAGGCCCCTTTTTTCTCCGCTCTTTTTTTTTCTGGCGTTTTTTGCTCATTGTTTTCCTTTTCCCTCTTTTTTTCTTTTTCTCAATTCTTTTCAGATAAAAAATGAAATAATTTATAAACTATAGTTATGAACATAATAATTATAATAATAATAATATTATTAATAATAATCACATTTAAATACATTAATTTGAGAGTAATTGATTAGAGTGTAGAAAAAGTTTAAAGAAAAATGAGAATAGTTGGTAGAAATTAGAAGAAATTAAAAAAAACTAGAAGAAATCGGTAGGAATTGGAAGAAAGGTAATAGTTAAGAGTTTAAGATCTTAAGAATAGGTTCTTAATTTTTCCCATATAAAAATAATAAAAAGGTAATGTTGTACTCCCTCTAGTCCTAAAAGCTTTTCATGTTTTGACTTTTTTGGTCAAACAGTGACTTTCTTTGATCACAAATTAAACATAATCTTAATAAATAATTGATATTTAAAGTTGATACATCAAAACTACATTTCTAAAATGAATCTAATTATATTGAATTTATATTATAATTTCATATACTTTTTTCATAATTTGTAGTCAAAATGTCACTGTTTGACCAAAAAAGTCAAAACTGAAAAGGTTTTTACCACCCGTGGTTGTGGGTATGAGTCCCACGGGTGGTGACAAAAATGATGGTGTAAATTACCACCCGGGTAAACTAGTCTAGATCGCGTCTAAAGTGGTTTGCTGAGTTTAGGAACTGAAAGAACTCAAGAAATGGAGATTGATCGGGAGGATTGTGGGTGGGAACATTCGTAGCCCAATTGTTATTAAATATAGGAAGAGCACATGGAGAAATTATGCAATATGCTCCAGAGAGATACAATTCAGATCCCTTCTACTGAAGGTTAGAAGCGGATTTATAATGTGGAGTAGGGGGCAGGCTGGCGGGTGCCCATGCCGGCCACATGCGAGTCATGTGACTGGGTTCCTGATCCGATAGCGCTTCGTCTCACGTGCGAGTTATGTGACTGGGTGCCTGATCCGACAGTGCTTCATCTCGTAGCGCTTGACCCTGCACTGTCGAATGTATAAGTTGGTGCAAGGGATTTGCCCTGCCATGTCGTTTTCAAACTGCTCATGTCCAAGCACGCTAGGCTGCCAATGCTTACACGTCCAGCTGACTCAGTCGGGTAGTTTCTTCCAAAGGATGTTTTGGTGATCTAGAGATCATTCCAACAAGGCAAGCTTTTTTGTCGGTACTCGGTAGTATCATGTGGGTCAACCCTCCCAGGTGGTTTGAGACCCTACCGGTCAGAATGGCCCCCCCCCCCTCCCCTCGTCA